GGAATTCTGCCCTAAAAGTCTACGATTCAGCCTTCTTATAATTGATAAAGCAGAGCCACCATCAGCTTCAGTTATCTACTGACATTTTTACAGCTGTCTTCCCAAAAAGCGCCAATTCAGAATTTTATTTTAAACATATGCTCCCAAAGCACCATTCTTATGACTACTTTATCTGAGATGGAACATTTTAAAGCATATGCTCTTTAGAAAGGAACATTTCCAACAAATAACTTACAAAAAAGACCAGAGATTCTTAGCCAAGAATCTGTCTAAACAGTAAAATGTCCAAAAAGACACTATTAAAAACATATTACAGATTCTGAAACCATTAGAATGATACTTAAAAGTTTTAGAGAGAACAGAAACTGTTCACCTCTGCACAATGTTGAGGAAAAGACACCAAATTCAATTGACCCAAATTGTATTTAAAACACAAACAAAGGGCGCTTGGGTGGCTCAGTCAGTTAAGCGACTGCCTTTAGCTCGGGTCATGATCCCAGGGTCCTGGGATTGAGCCCCGCCATCGGGATCCCTGCTCCGCGGGAAGCCTGATTCGCTCTCTCCCACTACCCCCTGCTTGTGTTCCCTCTCTTGCTGTCAAATAAGTAAATAAAAAATCTTTAAAAAAACCCAAAAAAACCCCATACACAACGAAAGAAAGGTGGTATTTTGCTAGTATTTCTCAAGGTGGTAGGTTCAGGTTTTCTTCACACTTGTAGTCTGCAAGATTTAGGTAGTGTACTGCCAGTTTTATATATCCAGAAGTTTCAGTTTCATTTTCCATTATACTTAGAGGTGTTAAAAGACCATACCTTCACATTTATCGCAAATCACATTCTTTTGCAGAGCTAGTTTTCGTGTTGCACCATTATATAAATCCTCTAAGGTTACTGAGAGCTGATGCACAACATTTTTACCTGAAACAAAACATTGCTCATTAAAAATTTGAGGTGTTACTTCTTATACATGTGTTCATTGCACTTTAAAAACAGTAAAATAGGGGCGCCTGGGTGGCTCAGTTGGTTAAGCAACTGCCTTCGGCTCAGGTCATGATCCTGGAGTCCTGGGATTGAGTCCCGCATCGGGCTCCCTGCTCAGCAGGGAGCCTGCTTCTCCCTCTGACCCTCCCCCCTCTCATGCTCTATCTCATTCTCTCAAATAAATAAAATCTTATAAAAAATAAAAACAGTAAGATACATCTGTTGAACACCTACTACATACACAGAAGTTGGTCACATTATCACCTGTGATTCTCAAACTGAGATGTAATTTCGGATGAGGAAAATTGGGTGAGTTAAGTAATTTGCCTAAGGACGTATTTGTGGCCATCTTACAAACTAAAGCAATCAAAAACCTCAACTGCAAAATCACTTGGGAAAACCAATGTTAAATATCAGGTTTCACAAATTAATCCAAACAGCATCTCTTTCCTAATACATTCTTTTAATCTTTCATTTAGTATGGTAATGATACGGCCAATTACTTCATCCAAAAATTCTTCAACACAAGTAAGTTCCAACTATGCAAGACTGGCCAGTGAAGCAGACAGTCTTCTATGGAGACTGGATAAATCTATTAATTCCCACTTCTTTGTGATGTAAGAGTAGCACTTACTTTTGGGGGCAGCAGTACTTAAAAACTGTATTTTTCATACAGTGCGGTCCAATACACCTTCCTGCAGTGACAAATATTTTATATCCATGGTATCTAATACAGTATCTGCTAATCACATGTGGTCATTTAGCACCTTAGTAAGGCTACCAGAGAGAAATTTTTGTTTTGAATTAATCTAAAGTAAAATGTGGCCACCGGCTACAAAGGAGTGCCCTATCTCATCTTAAAATGTGAAGTGGAAGATGGAAATTGCATAAGGACACAAAGGCTACAGAAATGAAATCACCTGCCAATGGTTAAGTTCCTAGTTAGTGATTCTTCCACAGTGACTTTTACCCACCAAACAGTACTGCCTTATGCCTAAGTGAAAAAAGCTCCCTTGCTCCTATATGCACCTAATGAATACTTTTAGTTCCCAAACAAGTGTGAAGCACCATTAACTATACCCTTTTGTTCCTAGCTCCACCTCTGGTTCTGTATCAGATACAGTCGCATGCAGTTGGTTCTGGCATGTTAGAAACTGCCCCCCTTACTTTAGCTTTATAGATCTGAGAAAACAGGGAAGGAAAACAAAAACTCCTTTAGTGTGGTTACGTATCCTCCAGTATCACAACAAAAAAATCTTTCATTAATCTAAGTCCAAGTTTGCCAGTCAATTCCTTAAATTTTTTTTTCTAAATAAAAACCGCTTGTTTTTCTGTGGGAGAAATCCTAAACAATTCATTACGATTGCAAATCGTTCTAAAATAAATTCCATAACCACATTTGGTAAGTGTTAAGGGCACATATTTTAGTAAGAAAGCAGAAACAAGATTAAACAGACCATAACCTATTTGGAGTTAATAAACCTGTGTTCCATTACTGACTCTGATGCCTTGCTATATGTGACCTTGAAAAAATTTTAATTTCTTAACTTTAACTCACTTTTAACTGAACAAGGCCATGTATCTCCAAGGCTGGGGGTAGGGGAAGGGATCAAAAAAGAGCTCTAAAAAGGACTCTGTCCTATACTCTATTCCTTTAATTAATGCTTGATAACCTTCCTGAAGTCGTGCATGTCAGAGACCTTTACAAGCATTTACTTGTTAAAACTTGATTGGCCTAGCTATTTCTGGCTACATCAGTCTCACTTAAAAAAACTACACCATAAATCAAGGTGGCAGTTTATGTCGGTTTGCAATATTATACCAACATGTAAACAAGCATTTCAAATAGATGATTTCTCAAGAATTTGCTTTCACCAAGGGCTACTTTAATTTGCTCCATGTGGACTAGGTTACTCTTACCTCTCCTTTCTCTCTGCATCCTTCCTCCTCCTCCAAAAAACATATCAAAGATGTCCATGGGGGAGCCAAAACCACCACCAGCTCCACCTTCTTTAATTGCCTGTTCTCCTCCTTTGTCATATAATTCCCTTTTCTTTGCATCAGAGAGTACTTCGTAAGCTTGAGAAATCTGTTTAAACTGTTTGAGAAAAAAGAAATTTCACTTAAAAGTGCTGCAAAGCAGTCACTGTATTACACATACTCGTCAGGTTGTAGTAAGTACTATACACCTGGCAAAGAACCACAGCGCTGCATTTAAGAGTAGGACTACATCACTTGCCTTCTCTCCTTCATTTGGATTCTTATCAGGGTGGTACTTCAAGGCCAGTTTCCTGTAGGCCTTTTTCAATTCCTCTTGGGTGGCATTGGGTTTGACCCCCAAAACATCATAGTAAGTGGTTTCTTTCACCATTTTCTACAGCCTGAAATAAAAAGCAGTTTTAACTGACTTTCAACTGGAAATTTTAATTAGTCAAAATCAACGATATGGCAAAGAAATCTGTTCTCCCCAAATCTGGTTTTAAAAACCCACCTTCCCCAAACTTCAGAGAAGGTTCCTTTGGTAGTTCAGCCATAAATTCTAACGAACTAAGTGTTAACTAATAATTATCAGGAATAATTCAAAGGCCTTCTACAGCAGCTGGTTCCCCCTCTCCCACAGGAAAGCTCCATACTAACGCCACTATTATCTGGATTCTTCCTGTTTCGCTTTCCAGTACTGACAGCAGTAATCAAAAAGAGCACCAATAGGTTCAGTCTATTGGTTATTACGTTATCACTGTCTTTGGTAAATCTGATAAGCCATACACTCCCTAGATTAAAAAAAAAAAAATTTGGGCACGGGGGAGAGGGAAACGGATTGGTTTATGAAACTGATTAAAAGCACAAAGCAAGCTCCCCTCCCCCCCAAGATGTTTCTCAATCACAGAACTTACAGCACTTCCACTTTGACCACCGAACCCCTCTCGCCCCCACAAGCCAGCGTAGTTTACACGTCGTTAGGTTTCCCCCTGCCGTAGGTGCAGACCTTTAAGGTTTTCCTCCTCCCACCTTGACCAAAGGGGTGGGAGAACCCCAGCCAGCACTCAACAAAGAGGAGGGGAGACCGGAGAAGCGGCCGCAGCCTCCGCCCCGCTCCCCCCGCAGCCCCTCGACCCTCGTTCCTTCCGCGCGTGCGCGCATGGTCGCCCACCCCCAGCAAGCTGGGGCGGAGGGGACGCGGGGGCGCACGCGGGGGCGCGCACGGGGGGGGGCGGGTGGAAACCCGAAGGTGGTAAGTCCTTGGGGACCTCGGGCTAAACTGAGAGTGGAGAATGCTTCAGGAAACGTCTCGGGCCCACTCACCGCGTGCCCGAGATGGGTTGCCGCGGCACCACACCAGCCCTCCCAAAAAGAGAATCGTGGATACAGGAACCAACAACCCTTCCGCCCACGCGAAGCCAACCGCCTCCGACCGCGACTCCATCCGGCTTGTCCGTGCCGACAATGGCGCCGGCCCTGGGACAAGAGGAAGCGCGAGGGCTGAAACTCACCGGTGAGAGGGCCGAGGCCGGTGTGGGGGAGCGGGAAGGGGCGCGTTGCTGGGCGCAGCTCGGGCAGCCGCCGCTGCTCCGCGTCTCACCGAGCGTTCTGGAAAGTTCCGCCCGGCGCGCCGCAGCCGTCGTCTTTTGTAGCCCAGTCCAGGCGCGTCACTCGACGGAAGTCCCGCCCCTTTCGCCGCTGCCACCGCCCCTCGGTTACCTGGGCAACGGCGCGTGGGCAATCGTGCTGGGAGGAGCTTTGCCGAAGGGCCTTGTGGGGGTGGGTGCAAGCTTGGGTTTCTGGTGCTTGTGGAACTTTCTGGAGTTCCTTCCTCCACCCCGTGGGCCAGAGAGTGCGGAAGTCTCGGGCGGGAGCAGGGATTGCTAACGAGCGGTGCAGTAACTGGCCAACTCCGGATTCCCGAAACCGCAGGGCGGACGGCGCCGCCGCCGCCGCCTGCGACGGCTTGGGAACCGAGCCCCATGCGGGAGCTGAGTTCGGAACAGGAACCTCTTAGAACAAAGCCCCGCCGTACTCCCTTCCTGCCGGCTTTTCTTTTGCAGCTTTGGGCATCTGTAATTGTCTTAGTTCCTCAGCCCTGAGATTCTGGGAACCCGCCGAGGAAGAAGTGCCTTGTTCTGGACAATCTCAGTCCTCTGATCTTGCTCCTTTTCATGCGTAGTCCGTGGCCTTGTAATCCACCAAATTGCAAGTGGGAAGAGCTCTTTGTGCAAGTCTAGGCCCCTGTACGTATGTTATTTGCCTTGGCCCTGACTGTGTCCCACACGTTGGGCACCAGGAAATGTTTGGAATACCTTGATGCAAACTGAGGGCCTTGGACTCCTGGCCTGGCATTCACCCTGTTGGCCAGTGAGAGGCACCAAATCGACTTACTTGACCTAAATTTTTAAGCCCTACCAGTCTGTGAACTTGGATTTACAGTCTGCGAAGTGAGTCCTTGCACTTTAAAATGTTGGGATGGGGGCCATAATGGAAAATGGAGGCTTATATTCAATAATACTAAATATGGGAGTATTTATCTACCACCAAGGAAGCTGGAGATGCAAAGTAGAAAAAGCCCGGTTCACATCACTTAGATTTTAGTGGGTAACCGGACATATCAACGAACTTGAGAGAACCACAAGATAGATCAAATCTGATGGAATAGGGAAAGCATCCGTGGGAAAGTAGTTGAGCCGATATTTTTTTCTTTTTTAAGATGTCATTTTTTAAAAATTTAAATTCAATTGCAAATAGTGTGTCACTAGTTTCTGAGGTAGAGTTCAGTGATACATCAGTTGTTTAGAAAACCCAGTGCTCGTTATACTGCGTGCCCTCCTTGATGCCCATCACCCAGTTACCCCATCCCCCACACCCCTCCTCTCCAGCAACTCAGTTTGTTTCGTATGGTTAAGAGTCTCTTATGGTTTGTCTCCCTCCCTGATTATATCTTGTTTTATTTTCACCCCCTTCCTCTATGCTTCTCCGTTTTGTTTTTTAAATTCCACATATGGGGCGCCTGGGTGGCTCAGTCGTTAAGCGTCTGCCTTCGGCTCAGGTCATGATCCCAGGGTCCTGGGATCGAGCCCCACATCGGGCTCCCTGCTCGGCGGGAAGCCTGCTTCTCCCTCTCCCACTGCCCCTGCTTGTGTTCCCTCTCTCGCTGTGTCTCTCTCTGTCAGATAAATAAAATCTTTAAAAAAAAAAATAAATTCCACATATGAGTGAAATCATATAATTGTCTTTCTTTGACTTATTTCGCTTAGCATAATATTCTCTAGTTCCATCCATGTTGTTGCAAATGGCAAGATTTCATTTTTTTGATGGCTGAGTAGTATTCCATCATATATGACCACATCTTCTTTATCCATTCATCTGCTGATGGACATCTGGGCTCTTTCCATAGTTTGGCTACTGTGGACATTGCTGCTGTAAACATTGAGGGGCAGGTGCGGCTTCAGATCACTACATTTGTATCTTTGGGGTATGTACTTAGTGCAATTGCAGGGTCGTAGGGTAGCTCTATTTTTAACTTTTTGAGGAACCTCCATTGATCTGAGTTTTTAAAGGGATGAAAACATTCCCAACAAAGCACAAGAGAAGGCTAAGAAGTGAAAGAATGTGATACTTCTACGGAATTGCAAGCAATTGGATGTTGCCACAGCTAAGGGAGCTGGTGGCAGTAGGCTAGGCTTCAGAGCTATTTGGGGAACAACCTTGGATATATCTTGCTAAGCTCAGGATTTTGAACTTTACCCTGAATGCATCCTGATGCGTACTTTTTCAGCATTATCTCTTTTATTTAAACTGTGCACCTGGGCGCCTGGGTGGCTCAGTTGGTTAAGCGACTGCCTTCGGCTCGGGTCATGATCCTGGAGTCCCGGGATCGAGTCCCGCATCGGGCTCCCTGCTCGGCAGGGAGTCTGCTTCTCCCTGTGACCCTCTTCCCTCTCGTGTTCTCTATCTCTCATTCTCTCTCTCTCAAATAAATAAATAAAATCTTTAAAAAAAAAATAAACTGTGCACCTAGTTACACCAAGCTTATCAGCAGTTTTCCTCGATGCACTTCTTCACTTCTCTGCTTTTGCTTCCACCGAGAGGCACCAAATCTTTACAATCTTAGAGGTTACCATCTCAACTTATTGCCTGTGGTAAAAACTTTTTTTCTTTAACCAACACTTATGGAAGTCTAATACTGCAGGCTGAGCACTAGGGTTTGGTAATATAAAAATCATTTAAATCATGTTCCTGCCTTTGAGGATCTCACCACACAAAAAAGGACGAGTTGTGTTGTAAATGCCAATAAAGGAAAAGGAAGAGTATTGAGATTCTGAATAGCAGAACCTTGCACATCCAGGTGAGTATTCCAGATCAAGAGACCAGCAGGTATAAGAACATAAACAATTAATAGAGAACAGTAAACAATGACAAGTTTATTCATGTGTTCTGAGGCGTTGTAGTTCTAAAATTCTGACTTTATCATACTATAAACAGTGCGTTTGTTAATCTAACATTGGTTAAGCATGTGAAATGATAAGTAGAATATATATCAAATCACTTCAACTGAGAGTTTCCACAATAAATATTACTGTGTCTAGTATTTCTTAAATATTACTATATTTAAATATTATGTTTCTTTTTGCCTCAGGAATCCAATGGAAATTCATACAGCTTTGAGAACGATGGAAGTCAACATAAAGCTATGAAATGTGATATCAAAAATCCTTTTAAAACCAGCAAGCTAAGTGAGCTTAATTACTTATTAAAAATAAAATAAGGGGCATAAAAGTTGGTTTAAAAGAAAAGGAAGACTATGTGCTTATTTACTTGGATGTGTATAGAATATTTCTCAAGGATACCGAAAAACTTGTGATATGGTTGCCTTTGGGGAGAGGTAGGTGCTGGTGAGAGGAGAATGGGAGGGAGACATTTCAGAATATACCATTTTGTAACTTTGGAATTTTTAACCTATTTGAATGTAGTACTTATTTAAAAAATTAAACTTAAAAAAGTATAAAATCCTCTCCTCCCAATTCAAGCTTTGAACTAGTAATTTGTCACCCCAACAGCAAATTTAGGTAATTCTTGGTGGCCTTAAAGAACATCATTACATATGTTGTAATATTTTTCTTTCATAGAAACAGTGATGCTAAAAATATGTCTTTATGAATATTTTAACTTTTCAGTAAGCAAACTTAGCACTTTTAAGCATTCTTATTTATATAAAATACAAAAAGATGAGCAATAATTTAGTTTGTGTGTTTTTTTGGGTTAAGAAATGGTATTGTATTATACATGCTGTTTGTAACTTGCCGCTTTCATTTAATTTATTGTCATCTTACCATGTTAGAATAAATAAATCTACCTTGTTATTTTTAACGGCTTCATAGTATACAGTATGCAGGTATTACAGTTTATTTAACCATTCCCCTATTGACGAACGTTTTGGCAATTTCCAGTGTTTTACAAACAATGCTGTGGAGAAATTCTCAAATATAGCTGTAGACACTCATACCAGTGCTTCTGTACGATGGACATCTAGATTTGAAATTGCTGGGACAACTTAACTGCAGGTTTAAAATTGTAATAAGTAACTACCCTTTCCCTTTTTTGGCTTTTGTGTTTCTTCTCCATTCTTTCTCCCTCTCCCCTCTTCTTCATTTGTTATGCTTAGGAAGCTTTCACCAATCCAACATTATGAACGTATTCTCCCAGGTTTTCTTCTAGTACTTTCATGGTTCCATTTTTTACCCTGTAAATCTTTTTCCACCTAGAATTGATTTTGGTTTAAGTGCTGAGGATTATTTGTAAGAAACTGAGTTTTATTTTTCTTCAAATGGTGAGCTAGTTTTTCTGTTTTAATACTCTATTTTTCCTGCCTAATGTGAAATGCCATTTTTCTCACATAGTAAATTTACATTAAAATGCATTTTTTTATTTTTTTAAAGATTTTTATTTATTTATTTGACAGAGAGAGAGCGAGAGAGGGAACACAAGCAGAGGGAGTGGGAGAGGGAGAAGCAGGCTTTCCTCTGAGCAGGGAGCCCGATGCGGGGCTCAATCCCAGAACTGCAGGATCATGACCCGAGCCGAAGGTAGACGCCTAACAACTGAGCCACTCAGGTGCCCTGCATTTTTTTTATTTTTTAAAGATTTTATTTATTTATTTGAGAGAGTGAGAGTGCAAGCATGAGCAGGGGAGGGGCAGAGGGAGAGGGAGAAGCAGACTCCCAGTTGAGCAGGGAGCCTGATGTGGGGCTGGATCCCAGGATCCTCGGACTATGACCTGAGCTGAAGGCAGATACTTAACTGACTGAGCCACCCAGGCGCTCCTTAAAATGCATTTTAATGTCTGGGAGGCCTAGTTCCTCTCACTGCTCCTCCTTTTTATAGTTTTTTTAAAAATTTTATTTATTTATTTGACAGAGATAGAGCATAAGTAGGCAGAGAGGCAGGCAGAGGGAGAGGGAGAAGCAGGCTCTCCGCTGAGCAGGGAGCCTGATGTGGGACTCGATCCCAGGACCCTGGGATCATGACCTGAGCTGAAGGCAGCTGCTTAACCAACTGAGCCACCCAGGCACCTGTTCCTTTTTATAGTTTTTCCTGGCACTTTTCTAGTATGTTTATCCTTCCAAGATGAATTTAAGAATATTTCTGGCCAGGGTGCCTGGGTGGCTCAGTTGGTTAAGCGACTGCCTTCGGCTCAGGTCATGATCCTGGAGTCCCTGGATCAAGTCCCACGTCGGGCTCCCTGCTTGGCAGGGAGTCTGCTCCTCCCTCTGACCCTAACCCCTCTCATGTGCTCTCTCTCGTTCTCTCTTTCTCAAACAAATAAAATCTTTAAAAAAAATAAAAAAAAATATTTCTGGCCAATTTCCCCCAAATCCCAATGTGACTTTGATTGTGATTACAATTACAGTGCTTTTATACATTAGTCAGTTTGGGGAGACTTAACATGTTTATAACGTTGTATTTTCCTACCTGTGGACAAGGTACATTATGCATACAGCTGCATATTCCCTCTATTGTATTTTATAGTTGCTATTTTTTGAAAGGTAGGTCCTGGGGCGCCTGGGTGGCTCAGTCGTTGGGCGTCTGCCTTTGGCTCCGGTCATGGTCCTGGGGTCCTGGGATCGAGCCCCGCATCAGGCTCCCTGCTCAGTGGGAGGCCTGCTTCTCCCTCTCCCACTCCCCCTGCTTGTGTTCCTATTCTCGCTGTCTCTCTCTGTCAAATAAATAAATAAAATCTTAAATAAATAAATAAAAGGTAGGTCCTGATCATTTTTTCTTGAAGTTGTTACTAAACACTGTCTTTTTGTTATCATGAATGGTCTCTTGTCTTACCATTTATTTTATTTCAGTGGTATGCTTTATAACTTTCCCCAACCATGTGACCAGATTACAGGTGTCCAAGGAGGTAGCTGGAAATGGCTAGAGGCATGGCAGAAGCCAAGTCATTAGGGCTTGAACACTATGCTAGTAGTGTGATGTTTATCTTGAAAAACCCCTGGAGGATTCTATGGAGGATGGTAATATAACCACTATGAGCTGACTTTTTTCTTTCTGAGTGCCTGTCAGGCACTGTGCTGAACTTTCTACAAATGTTGTCATACATTAATCTTCACAGCAACCCTTTTTTACAGATGGGATTTGATCATATTTACATTTTCAAACAGTCATTTGGTACTGATGTGAAAGATGGATTCTTAGGAAGCTTTTATTGTATAGATAAGATCACAAGTGGTGAGGCCTAAATAATAGAAATGGAGAGGAAGAGAAATAGAAATAGAAACATAGGGGTGGAATCTGCAGCTCGTGGTGACCAGCTGCAGAGGTGAGGGAGAAGGAGTCATAGCTGACTTCCAGTGTTCTGGCCTGAGCAACACGATGATTGGGGAGGCCCTTCCTGAGACAGGAGGCCCAGAAAGAGGAGGATGAGAAGGCTGTGGTGGGGCAGAATTGGGGAGGGCGAAGGTGAGTCCAGTTTTGGATGTGTAGAGTTACTGCTATACTCTTTTCTTTAGATTAAAAAGAGAAACTTTTGGGGGTGCCTGGGTGGCTCATTTGATTAAGTGACTGCCTTCGGCTCTGGTCACGATCCTGGGGTCCTGGGATCGAGTCCCGCATCGGGCTCCCTGCTCAGCGGGGAGTCTGCTTCTCCCTCTGACCCTCCCCCTGTCATGTGCTCTCTCTCCCTCATTCTCTCTCTCAAATAAATAAAATCTTTAAAAAAAAAAAGAAAATTTTTATTGGAAAGCACAAAATGGAAAGTAAATTGCAGCTAAAATGCTGTTTCTTATGCTTGTATAAATTATATTTTTTGAAACCTTTAATTTTTAATTGACTGTGGGGCCTAGTGGGGCTGGAAATATTTTTATTTTATTTTATTTTATTACGTTATGTTAGTCACTGTACAACACATCATTAGTTTTTGATGCAGTGATCCACGATCCATTGTTTTTGTATAACACCCAGTGCTCCATGCAGTACGTGCCCTCCTTAATACCCATCACCGGGCTACCCCATCCCTTCATCCCCCTCCCCTCTAAAACCCTGTTTGTTTCTCAGAGTCCATAGTCCCTCATGGTTCATCTCTCCCTCTGATTTCTCCCACTTCATTTTTCCCTTCCTTTTCCTGTCTTCCATGCTATTCCCTGTGTTCCACAAATAAGTGAAACCATATGATAATTGACTTTCTCTGCTTGGCTTATTTCACTTAGCATCATCTCCTCCCGTCCCATCCATGATGATGTAGAAGTTGGGTATTCATCCTTTCTGATGGCTGAGTAATATTCCATTGTACATATGGACCACATCTTCTTTATCCATTCATCTGTTGAAGGGCATCTCGGCTCTTTCCACAGTTTGGCTATTGCGGACATTGCTGCTATGAACACTGGGGTGCACAGGGCCCTTTTTTTCACTATATCTGTGTCTTTGGGGTAAATACCCAGGAGTGTAATTGCTGGGTCATAGGGTAGCTCTATTTTTAATTTTTTGAGGAACCTCCACACTGTTTTCCAAAGTGGCTGTACCAACTTGCATTCCCAACAGTGTAAGAGGGCTCCCCTTTCTCTACAACCTCTCCAACATCTGTTGTTTCTTTTCCTGTCCATTTTTGCCATTCTAACTGGTGTAAGGTGGTATCTCAATGTGGTTTTGATTTGAATTTCCCTGGTGGCTAATGATGATGAACATTTTTTCATGTGTCTGTTAGCCATTTGTATGTCTTCTTCAGAGAAGTGTCTGTTCATGTCTTCTGCCCATTTTTTGACTTGATGATTTGTTTTTTGGGTGTTGAGTTTGAGAAGTTCCTTATAGATCTTGGATACCAGCTCTTTATCTGTAGTGTCATTTGCAAATATCTTCTCCAATTCTGTGGGTTGCCTCTTTGTTTTGTTGACTGTTTCCTCTGCTGTGCAGACGCTTTTTATCTTGATGAAGTCCCATAAGTTCATTTTTGCTTTTCTTTCACTGGCTTTTGGAGATGTATCTTGAAAGAAGTTGCTGTGGCTGATGTCCAAGAGGTTACTGCCTATGTTCTCCTCTAGGATTTTGATGGATTCCTGTCTCACATTGAGGTCTTTCATCCATTTTGAGTTTATCTTTGTGTATGGTGTTAGAGAATGGTCGAGTTTCATTCTTCTGCATGTGGCTGTCCAGTTTTCCCAGTACCATTTATTGAAGAGACTCTTTTTTCATTGCATATTTTGGAAATACTTTTTTTGAGTATCACCAATTTGTT